GTTGGCTGAGACCCACCTGTGTTTCAGTGGAGTGCCACCTGTCAGTCCAGAAACATTCTGTGTCCTGGGCTGATCACCGCTGTGAGGGGGGATTCTGCCCCACTCAGGTAAGACCCCCCCTGCAGAGCTGCCTCCAGCTCTGGGATTCCCAGCACAGGAAGGACCTGTTGGAGAGAGGCCAGAGGAGGCCACCAAGGTGATCAGAGGGATGGAGCAGCTCTGCTGCAAGGAAAGGCTGGGAGAATTGGGATTGTTCAGCCTGGAGAAGAGAAGCTTTGGGGAGAACCCATAGCAGCCTTCCAGTATCTGAAGGGAGCCTGCCAGAAAGATGAAGAGAGACTATTTACAAGGGCCTGGAGTGACAGGACAAGGGGGAATAGCTTCCCACTGACAGAGGGCAGGGTTAGATTAGGTATTTGGAGGAGATTCTTCCCTGTGAGGATGGGGAGGCCCTGGCACAGGTTGCCCAGAGCAGCTGTGGCTGCCCCTTCCCTGGAAGTGTCCAAGGACAGGTTGGATGGGGCTTGGAGCAACCTGGGCTAGTGGAAGGTGTCCCTGCCCATGGCAGGGGGTGGAATGAGATGGTCTGCAAGGTCCCTCCCAACCCAAACCAGTGTGTGGATTCTCTGTGTTATGGTGGTGAGTGGGGATCCAAGTGAGAGCTGCTAAACCCCACCTGGCAGGTGCACATGGCAGGACCATGGTACCTGCCCCAGAGTCTCTCTGCCACTGCGTTTTCTAGAAGGTGTCAGGAGTTACATTATTTAATCCAGCAGCTGCTAGATAGTCCTGATCAGAGCTCAGCACAGGTTATGCTCCTGTGGTCTTTGTATGAGGCTGGGGTGTAGGAGTGTTGGCTCACACAGAAAGGGCTGTATTAACAAATAACAACTCTTGAGAAAGCCCTTAAGATAAGTGGGCTTATGCCATAAACCCCAGACTTCTGGTGGGTGTCTGGGTTCTGGTGTCCAGTGGAGCCTGGGGGTGAAGGTGTACAGCTCATCTTTGAAGGAATGTTCTGAATGTTCTTCAGGTCTTCCTTGTACCCTGCGAGATTCCTGACCCAGCCATGGATCCCTGAGTGCCTTACACAGCTCACTTGTACCGCGTCCACCCACCATTTTTCACTGGTTTAGCTAAATGTGTCATTTAATGGATTTAACAGTGGGGGAGAAGTGCTGTCAGTGCCGTAAGCAAACAGAGTTAGTGACTGAGATGCATTAATGCATAAACTGGGGAAAAAGAGGAACATGGCCCCCAGGAGAACAGCAAAGGCAGGCACCAGGAGTGCCAGTAGGGCAGGAATTACAACATCATTTTGTGTTCTCATGATTTTCCACTATTATAGCAAAACCTATGTTGTTAAGAAAGTAAGAAAGTGTATTCTCATCTCCCTAATTCCTTCCTGATGTCACATCAACCTGGCAGGTAGAAAGGTGTTTCTTCCTGGGATTATGGGAATATTTAAAAGCAGGGTGCTGAACCATCCCAGGTGCCCAGGTCTTCAGGCGTGTCTTGGGCAAGGAGGTTCCTACTAGTCATGGAAAGATACTGGGGGCTTTCCTTGGAGTGGGAGGACACCCAGACACAGGGAGCTTGTGACAAACTCCACACTGAGAATGCTGTATGCAAATTGTCACCCCGTTCTTGGAGTGTTTGGACTGTAATCCTTTCCTCTTCTCCCATCCCAGGTGCACTGGACCAAAGAGGAGAATTACATGTTCAGGCTCTCGGCGTTCCGGGATCCCTTGCAGAAGTGGCTCCGGGACAACCCACGTGCCATTTCTCCCGACTCTTTCTACCAGCGCGCGCTCCGCTGGCTGGACGAGGATCTGCCGGACCTGTCGGTGTCCCGCGAGCGGAGCCGGCTGCAGTGGGGCATCCCCGTGCCCAGTGACCCCACGCAGACCATCTACGTGTGGGTGGACGCCCTGGTGAACTACCTGAGCGTGGTGGGGTACCCCGAGAGCCACGGCGCGTGGTGGCCGGCCGCGCACCACGTGGTGGGCAAGGACATCCTCAAGTTCCACGCGCTGTACTGGCCGGCGCTGCTGCTGGCGGCGGGGCTGGCCCCCCCCGAGCGCATCCTGGTGCACTCCCACTGGACCGTGCACGGGCAGAAGATGTCCAAGAGCCTGGGCAACGTGGTGGACCCCGCCACGTGCGTGGGGCAGTACGGTGTGGACGGGTTCCGGTACTTCCTGCTGCGTCAGGGCGTCCCGGAGCGGGATTGCGACTACTACGACGAGAAGGTGGTGAAGCTGCTGAATTCGGAGCTGGCGGATGCACTCGGGGGGCTGCTGAATCGCTCAACGGCCCCCAGCATCAACCCCAGCAACACCTACCCACGCTTCTCAGAGCCCTGTTTTCCAAAGGTCCTGGATTCCAGGGAAGCAAAAGGCATGGGCAGGGCGTCTGCTGAGGACTATGAACTCGTGGCAGCGGTGGCCTCGCTGCCTGCACAGGTGGCTGGTTTTTTCGAAGGCTTCCAGATTTACAAGGCTCTGGAATGCATTGCCCAGTGCGTGAGGCAGACCAATGGCTTCTTCCAGAGGCACAGGCCTTGGAAACTCGACCGAAGGGACAGTGCGGAGCGGCTCTGGCTGGACACCATCCTGCACGTCACGCTGGAGTGTCTGCGTGTCTACGGGACACTCCTGCAGCCTGTGGTCCCACACATGGCAGACAAGCTGCTGTCCCGCCTCGCTGTTGAGCCAGGAGAGAGGGGTCTCTCTGATCTGACATTCTTGGCACGCTATGATGGAAAGCCTTGTCCCTTTGAGGGGAGACAGCTCGGACCTGACACTGGCGTCTTGTTCCAGAGGCTGGAGAAGTTGGAAACTGTGAAGAACAGAAAGCAAGAAGCTCGAGTCCCTGACAAACAGCTTCTGTGAATAAAAACCTTCAGGAACTCCTGGGAAATGCTGTCTTTGTTAAAAGCACCTTCCTTCCATTCATGGTGGTGGTGTGGAGGGGTGGGAAGCTGCCCTGAACAGGGCTGTGCTGTCCCAGGGACAGCCTGGGGGCTGCCCAGACATGCTTGGGCAGGAGATTGTGCAAGCAGGGCTGAGGGCTCAGGAAGCTCAGGCAGCACCCTCAGAATGCCTGAGTAGCCAAGTCAGTAACTGAACCAAAGACACAGCCTTGGGTTTCAATATTGCTGCTTTTTGTGCCCCGATGTATTTTATGGGATGTAAAAAGCAGCTGAGGCAAATATTTATCCTCCTAAAATGGGAAGGTTTTCATGCACGGTCCTGGAGCTCCACCAGAGCCCTCTTGCCTGTGTCTCTCACAGAAGCATAGAATCTTAGACTGGTTTGTGTTGGAAGGACCTTAAAGCCCATTTTGTTCCAACCCTCTGCCACGGTTAGGGACATCTTCCATTAGACCAGGTTGCTCTGAGCCCTGTCCAGTCTGGAATGCTCCCTTCCTTTACCTTGTCTGAGGTGAGGAGCCTTCAGATGGTCTTCTGAAGACACTGTAACCATGGATGTGGCAGCCAGTCTGCCCAGCCATCCCTTCCAGATACAGCAGCTCCCACCTCACTCACTCCAGCAATCCCTTCTTGTGCTGATGTTCAGGCTGAGTATCCAGGGGGATCACGAAAGCCCTGAGGAGAGATGGGGTTGGTCCTTGCCCTCCTCGGTGTTGTCTCCTTGTGAAGGGAGAAGGATGAGCAGTCGCTCTACAATCAGTGTCCTCATCTCACCTTTAATCACAGGTTTTTGGCAAGTCCAGAAGTAGCTGGGGGTGGTCAGATATGGTTCCATGGTGCCCATGGATCTGTTGGGCTTTCTCTGTGGGCCAAAACCAGTCTGAGTGAGCCCTGATGGGGATGATCCCATGTGACCACTCTTTTCCAGGGGCAGGACAGTGCCACAGTCAAACATGAGGTCTCATTTGGCTGTGCAGACCTGCTGGCATCACCAGAATGGGAAAGAAGGGCATATGTTTCAGGCCCAGACTCACCTTCCTGAGGCTTTTCTGCCTGCTGCAAGGCTTAGTGCACTCTAGTTTCATGTCAGTGCTGCTGGAAGCAGCTGAGCACTGGCACTCTGGGGCACCAGTGACCACTGGGGATCTCTGGTAAATCCTTCCCAGCCTCTGGGTCCTCCAGGTCCCATCAGTGCAGGAGTCATCTTTCATGGGCCTGGTTTGGGGGGCTGTGAGTTCTTTTGGGGTTGCCTGGGCTGTGTGAGCAGAAGCAGTGCATGCAGCCCTTGTAGTCTGCCTGCTCCTGCCAGTCCCCACACCCTTGCTGTGCCACAGCCTGATGCTGTCCCAGTTCAGCTGACACGGGTCCCCTCGTCCCCTCCTGCCGTGGTTCTCTTCCCCTGCCGAGTGTCACCTGCTGCCCTACTCCTGCCATCCCTCTGAGCATCCTTCCTGCTGCAGCCCCTGTGCCCTAGTGCTGTCGGTGCTGGCACCCCGCTGCCCTGCTCCTTGGGGACAGGAGGGACATACTCCCTTCCCGGTCCCTCTGATGCTGGCAGCCGCGGGCTGTGCCTGCCCGGCCGGACATGGAGAGGGTCACTCTGGCACCGGTGGCAGTGACCCCGTGTTGGAACGTGCGGGTGTTCGTGTGTCCCGATGTCTGCTCCTGCCCCGCTATCCCTCGGTGTCCGGGGCTCCCTCCCGGGAGGGGCCAGTCCCGCTGCCTGCAGCCCCGCCGGTCCCTGCCGGTCCCCTGGGGATGCCCGGGCTGAAAGCACTCGGTCTCCGGCCTGGGGCTTGGCGCGGAGGGCCGGCCCAGAGCCGGTGGCGGTGCGAGGGGCTGTGCCGGTGCCGGTACGCGGGGTGGAGCCGTGTTGTGCCGGTGCCGGTACGCGGGGCGGTGCCGTAGCCGGTGCGTGGGGCGGAGCGGTGCCGGTGCCGGTGCCGGTGCCGCTACACGGGGCGGAGCGGTGTTGTATTGGTGCCCGTACGCGGTGCCGGTGCCGGTACGCGGGGCGGTGCCGTGCGGTGCCGTAGCCGGTGCGTGGGGCGGAGCGGTGCCGGTGCCGCTACGCGGGGCGGTGCCGTGTTGTGCCGGTGCCGCTACGCGGGGCGGTGCCGGTGCCGTGCGGTGCCGTATGAGCCGGTGAGGCGGCGGCGGTGCGGGAGGGATGGCGGCGGGCGGCGGCGGCGGGGGGCGGCCGCCGGGCTCCGACCCCGCGCTGGAGCCCTACGTGCAGACCCGCATCTTCAAAATCATCGTGATCGGAGACTCCAACGTGGGCAAGACGTGCCTGACCTTCCGCTTCTGCGGGGGCACCTTCCCCGGCAAGACTGAGGCCACCATCGGCGTGGACTTCCGCGAGAAGACGGTGGAGATCGAGGGGGAGCGCATCAAGGTGGGCCCCGCACCGGCCCCGGGCTGGCCGACATCAGTCCCGCAGGGCCCCGCTCTGTCCCCGGTGGGTTCTACACCGGCTCCGGTGGGCCCCGCTCCATCCTCGGTCAGCCCCGCTCTGTCCCCGGCGGGCCCCGCGCTGGCCCCGAGCTGACCAGGAGCAGCCCCAGCAGCGACGGCAGCCAGAACCCATCCCTGCCTCAACCCCATCCCCTACCCCAGGGCTGCATCTCGCACCCCAAAGCTCTCCCGAGGGCTTTTCCTTTTATCCCAGCTGGAGGGAGGAGGCAGGGACAGGGGAGAATTCTCATGCCTGTAGTCAGCAGAGATGCTTCTGGACCCATCCATCCCTGCTGCCTTGTCGCTATTTCTGGGGTTGGTTTGAGCCTGCAGCAGCCTGAAGCAATGGGTCAGGGTGAGCCACTGCCGCCCTCCCGACACCCAGCACAGCCTCAGGGCATCAGGGGGGCTCCAGCTCCAGACACTGGACCAGCTGGGGAATGGAGCTGTGTGCCAGAACAGGGGCGTTTTTGGGGGGGAAGAGGGAGGCTGGAAGGCTCAGACGGGCCGGTGGCAGCAGGCTCGGCAGCTGTGGGAGTGCTGCTGGAATCTGCTCCCAGCTGGCACCAGGAGCTGTGATTGCAGGAGGGCTGGAACAGGATGGATTTGCTCTATGAAGGCCCATGTGACACCTGTAGGGAACGACCAGCCCAGAACTGGAGAGCTCTGGCTGGTGTGTCGGAGCACATCTGCTGCTGGTAGGAAACCATCCAGGAGCAGAGCCTGTGGTGGAGCTTGACCTGGCCAGGCTCGGGGGGATCAGCACCCACAGCCTCCGAGTGCGAGGCTGGTGCTGGAAGAACAAACACTGCTGCTGTACCGACAGATGGGAGATCAAAAGTTGAAATCACAATGAAACCAGAACTCGTGTTGGTGCGTGAGAGCTTTAGTTGTGCTTCTAGGCTGTCCATTAATGTTTTTCCCTTTCTCCTTTAGAGGTGTTCATTCCCCCCCTGCCTTCCCCAGCTCTGTCCAGCCCCACGGAGCCGTGCTGGTGTGAGGTCTGGTGCAGGCTGGCATGGAGCCCGTGTCACGGCCAATAGCAGGAAAACACTGCCAGGGATTCTACCTTTGGATATTATTTGTGCTCCAGCAGGCGTGAGTGGGAGGCAGTGCAGCACACTGGCCTTTTCCTGGGATAATGCATCCAAAAGGAGAGGTGAGAGGTGGGAGATGGACCCTCCCTCTCCTGCTCTGCCCAGGCTCTGGCCCAGAAAGGACTGAGCAGCAGCCCTGCTCTGCCAGCATTTTTCACTCTGAAAGACCTCGGGGCAGGTGCTGTCTCTGTAGGTACAGTGTGACTCGGACTGAGTTGGAAATTGCCGGTTCCAAGCTTCAAGATGTTACCAGGAGAACTCAGACTGACCCCTGGGGGCACCCTGCCAGTCACCAGTGTTCAACCAGACTGGGTGTCACTGACACCACCTTTTAGGCCCAGATGTTCAGCCAGTCCCCAGTCCACCTCACTGCTCATCCAGCTCTGGAGTTTCTCGGCTCCTCTGTCACTTGGGTCAGGGAGTTGTCATGGAGGGCTCCAGGAATGTTCTGGATTACCTGTGCCCTGCTGTGCTGTCATTCCAGCAGCTGTTGTGGCGTTTGAAGTTCTCAGTTAGGACCAGGGGCTGCAAACATGAGGCTGCTCCTTTCTGTCCATAGAGCACCTCATCTGCTTGCTCTTCCTGGCCAGACAGTCTAGAGCAGAGCCCCCCTACAACGTTCTTTGAGACGTTCTGCTCTTTAATCCTCCCCTGCAGTCTCTGTTGGCTCCTCACCCATCCCCACAGAGCTTCATGCCCTCTTGCTGCATTCCCACACAAAGGGTGGCTCCCCCTCCTCGTCTTCTCTTTGCCCTGACTCCTCTGAAATCATCAGGGTTCGTTCATGGTGTGGGATTTGGTAGACAAATAGACACGGATCTGTTGGAGCGAGTCCAGAGGAGGCCACAAAGATGCTCCGAGGGCATCTCCAGAGCCCCTCTGCTCTAAAGCCAGGCTGGAGAGCTGGGGTTGTTCATCTGGAGACAGGCAGGCTTCAGAGAGACCTCAGAACCCTTTCCAGTGCCTAAAGGGGCTCCAAGAGAGCTGTAGAGGGACTTTGGACAAGGGCCTGGATGGACAGGACAAGGAGGAATGGCCTTAATCTGAAGGAGGGCAGATTTAGAGGGGATGTTGGGAAGAAACTGGGGATGGTGGGGCCCTGGCACAGGTTGCTCGGAGAAGCTGTGGCTCCCCCATCCCTGGAAGTGTTCAGGGCCAGGCTGGATGAGGCTCGGAGCAACCTGGTCTAGTGGAAGGTGTCCCTGCCCATGTCAGAGGGTTGGAACTGGATGAGCTTTAAGGTCCCTTCCAGCCCAAAACAACTCCATGACTCTCTGAAAGCTGGACAGCAGGAAGCCCCCACGGAACCCCCACAGGGGGCCCTGGCAGAGCCACGCTCCTGTAGCCTCTCCTCTCGTCTGCTTCGCTTCCCAGGTGCAGGTGTGGGACACGGCCGGCCAGGAGAGGTTCCGGAAGAGCATGGTGGAGCACTACTACCGCAACGTGCACGCCGTGGTCTTCGTGTACGACGTGACGAAGATGAGCTCCTTCACCAACCTCAAGACGTGGATCGAGGAGTGCAACGGGCACGCGGTGTCCCCGCTCGTCCCCAGGGTGCTCGTGGGGAACAAGTGTGACTTGAAGGACCTGATCCAGGTGCCGTCCAGCCTGGCCCTCAAGTTCGCCGACGCTCACAACATGCTTTTGTTTGAGACCTCGGCCAAGGACCCGCAGGAGAGCCAGAACGTGGACGCCATTTTCATGTGCCTGGCCTGCCGGCTGAAGGCGCAGCGCTCGCTGCCCTGCCGGGACGCCGAGGGCTGGCCGGGGCAGCCCCAGCCGCAGTCCCGCCGGCCGGACGAGGCCAGCGGGAAAGGCTCCTGCCCGTGCTGAGCGGGACCCGGCCCGGACCCCAATAAAGGCTCTGAGCCCCCTGCGCTCCGACTCCTGCTTTGCGCCTCGGCCGCGCTCGACCCGGATCGGCCACGCTCGGCTCGGTCCGCGATAACGCTCGGGTAAAACCGGCCCGGCTCGGCTACAATCGGCCGGGTTCGGCCCAGTTCGGCCACGCTCGGCCCGGTTCGGCGGGTAGCGCTCGGCTGTAATCGGCCCTATTCGGTTACAATCGGCCCGGCTGGGCCGCGCTCGGCCCAGTTCGGCTACAATCGGCTCCACTCGGCCACTCTCGGTCGGGCCCGTTCGGCTGAGCGGGCATCGCGCAGGCGCGGCGCCGCGCGCAGGCGCAGTGCGCGCCGCTGCCGCCATGAAGTAGGTGTGAGGGGAGCGGGAGGGAGCGATGGGGGAGGTTCGGTCCCGCCGGCCCCGGCACTGACCCTGCCTCGCCCGCAGCCCCCTGACAAAGGTGAAGCTGATCAACGAGCTGAACGCGCGGGAGGCGGAGCTGGGCGTCCAAGAGGCGGTGTCGTGGCACGCGGAGTACAAGGACAGCGCCTGGATCTTTGTGGGTGCGGGCCGGGCCCGGGGGGCGGCGGGGTCGGGCCAGGCCGGGCCGGGCCAGGCCGGGCCCGCTAGGTGCCGGTGACACGTTCCACCCCTCTCCCCGCAGGCGGGCTGCACTACGAGCTGACGGAGGGCGATGTCATCTGCGTGTTCTCGCAGTAAGTGCGGCAGCCCCGGCCCCGCCGCCCGCTCGGGCGCTGCCGGAGGGTGCTGACGCTGTGTCACAGGTACGGCGAGGTCGTCAACATCAACCTCGTGCGGGACAAGAAGACCGGGAAGTCCAAAGGGTTCTGCTTCCTGTGCTATGAGGACCAGAGGAGCACCATCCTGGCCGTGGACAACTTCAATGGGATCAAGGTGAGTGTGGCTCAGGTGTTGCTGCCGCGGCTCCCCGGCTGCTCCGGGACCTGCCCGCGGTCTGAGAGCCCGGCCCTTCCAGATCAAGGGGCGGACCATCCGCGTGGACCACGTGGCCAACTATCGGCCTCCCAAGGAGTCGGAGGACTGGGATGAGGTGACCAGAGCTCTCCACACCAAGGGCTGCGGGGTCAAAACACCGCCTCGCTCCTCGTCTGATTCCCCGTCGGAAGAGGAGGATGTGCCTGTGAAAAAGCAGAAAGGTGAGGAGTGTTCCTGGCAGGCTGGATCCCAGGTGGGATTAGGGGCTGGAGTCTGGGTGGAGAGAAGGGTTGGAGGGAGGAAGATGGGCACAAAGTGAGGGTGGGGACAGGGTGTTGCTCCAGGGTGCCGAGGAGACGCTTGAAAATGAGGGAGGAGAGAGAGAGAGCAAAGAGGGAAAAGAGTCGTTTTGTCTGAACTGGAAAATTCCACAGAATGGATCACGATGTTACTGAGGGAAGGGAATGAGTAGAAGTGCCCAGCCTTGCTGGAGAGAGTGGTAAAGAGGGAAGCAGGATGGCCACAGCTGGAGGAAGGGTGTTGTGGTTGGAAGTGGAGTGGAATCTCCCTGAGGGGGAAGCAGGCTGGGATATTGCGGGTATAGGGGAAGAACTCGCGGTGGGAGGGGAGCTGGGGCAGTGCCATGAAATGGGGTGGGGTCTGGGGGGTGCTCGTGGAACTGGGTCCATCCCGAGTTGTGATCCCATGTCCAGAGAAGCCGCGGGGCAGAGCGGAGCAGCCCAAGCCAGGCCAGCAGGCCGGGAAGCGGGCGGGCATGGAGGAGCCGCATCCCAGGATCAAGATCAAGAAGGAGAAGGAGGACCCCGGGTACGAGCGCTACGCCGGTGGGAGCTCCGACAGGAACGCCGGGAGCAGGACACAGCGGGACGAAGAACAGCGGCGGCACCAGCGGCCCTCGGAGAGGAAGGGGGACAGGAGCGGTCAGGAGCAGAGGGGACAGAGCAGCTCCCGGGAGGAGCGGGACCAGAGGGAGGAGGCTGGCAGGAGGGGCGATGGCCACGGCAGCCGGCGGGACGTGTCCCCCAGGGGAGGCAGATCCCGGGAGTCCCATTCCAGGCACAAGGAGCGGAGCTCCGGCAGAGACTCTGGCCGCCACTGAGCCCTGGGAGAGCATTCCAGGGCCTAGGCCTGCCCAAACACCTGCTTCAAGCTCCCAGGGCACTGCAGCTGGACTGTTTGCCTCGTGGGAGCTTCCCTTTGGATCTCATCCTGCCCTGGGCCAGGGCTCTCCCTGTTACCCTTCAGCACTGGCCATGGGCAGTGGCAGGAACTGGGTACTGGGATCAGCAGGATGCTCCCCTGCCCAAAACCCCCAGATCTGTCAGAACTGGGGGATATCCCCTCTTGCAGTGCGGGAAGAGGCCGGTGGGTGTCTGGTCTGGCCTTGCCTGCTGGGTTTGGGTCCTGTGCCCACCTGGCATCTCCAGGTTCTGCGGTGGATCCGCGGTGGATCCACAGGAATGCACCGCTGTGTCGGGGCCGTTCGCTGTGGGTGTGTTTATAGGTCTCTTAATAAAAATTCCTGTTTGTTAGAAGCTGGTCCTGGGAGCAGCCTTCTTGTTCCTGATGCTGATTTTGGGCTGATTTGGCTGGAAAACTGGGAACAATGGATACAGAGTTGGGGGGTGGTGAACAGCAGCGATGGGAGGCATGGGGTTTGGGATGGTTTGAGTGGATCTGACTCCTACAACGAGTAATCCTTCTAGACGGAGTCCACAACAGTTCCAGGCACGGGGGTCAGAGGGGGAATTTTCCCCATGGAGCAATTGGGACTGAGCCCGAAGGCACCTGATGTGGGGTCTGGTGGGGACTGGGGCTGGGGCAGACCCAGGGAGTTCCCAGTGTGCTGAGCAGGGGGCTCAGCCGTCCTGCTCCCGGTGCCCTGGAGGGGGCTGTGACTGTTCTGCTGCCAGTATGTGGAGGGGCTCAGCCCGGTCCTGCTCTCAGGATGCCCTAGGGCACAGGGGGCTATTCCCGTCCTGTTCCCGGTACCCGGGGGGCTCAGCCCCGTCCTTTCCCGGTATCCGGAGGGGCTCCGCCCCGCCCTGCCCGCGGTGCCGGGGCGGTGCCCGGTCCCTGTGCGGTGCCGCCGGGGGCCGTCGGGGGGCGCGGCGGTGCCGGTGCCCGTTCCGGCGGCTGTTCCGGTTCCGGTGGCGGTCCCGGTGGCGGCGGTGCCCGCCCGCCATGCCATGTCCGCGCTCAACTGGAAACCATTCGTGTATGGCGGGCTCGCCTCCATCGTGGCCGAGTTCGGTGAGGCGGCGGGGCCGGCGGGGCGGCAGCGGGGCCGGTGCCGGTCCCGGCGGGCGCTGACGCCGCTGTCCCCGCTGTCCCCGCAGGCACGTTCCCCGTGGACCTCACCAAGACGCGGCTGCAGGTGCAGGGGCAGAGCACCGACGCGCGGTTCCGCGAGGTGCGGTACCGGGGCATGTTCCACGCGCTCTTCCGCATCTGCCGCGAGGAGGGAGGACGGGCCCTGTACTCGGGGTGAGCACCGGGACCCATCGGGACAGGGACCCCATCGGCACCGGGACCTCATCGGGACAGGGATCCATCCCATCGGCACCGGGCCCCATCCATCCCGAGACCCCCATAAGCCACGGGTCCTTCCCATCCACCCTGCCCCCCCGCATCCATTCGCCACGGGACCCCCCATCCGCACCGGGACTCCCCTACCGGGACTAGGAGCCGCCGTCGGCCCTGGGCCCCCCCATCCACCACGGGAACCCCCCCGCATCCGCACCGGTGCCCCCATCTGCCACGGGTCCTCCGCCCGGCCCGGCATTTCCTTCCATCCACCCCCGGGCTTTCCCACTGCCCACCGCGGGTCCTCCCCCGCTGTCCTGCCATCTCTCAGTGCCTGTCCTGGAACCCCTTTCGGTCACAGCATCCCCCCCCGCCATCCTGCCCACATCCTCAGCCCATCCCAGTTTCCCTCCTCCACTCTGGCATTCCCCTCTGCCTGCCCGAGGTCCTCCCCGGGTCCCCTCCACCCACCCAGGCCCTTCCCCTCTGCCCACCCTGGCCCCTGCTTCTGTCCTGGCACCCCCTCCCCACCCCAGGCTCCCTCTTCCACCTTCTGTCCTGGCATCCACCCCGACCCAGTTCCCCCCTCCGCTTTGCCCAGCCCACCCCTACTCCCTGCATGCCACTGTGACCCCTAAGATCCCACCCAGCCCTGAGCTCTGGGGCCAGGGCAATGGAGATTCCCTGTTTTCCCGAGATGAGGAGCAAGGCCAGGGCTGTGTGGATGCCAGCCCCCGGCACTGGAGGGTGCGTGGGGGCAATCCCAGAGGTCATCCCAGGCACTGGAGTGGTGGCAGGGACATGCCTGGCCCCTGACAGTTTGGGGGCTGGTGGGAAGTGGCCTGTGCTGGCCCACAGGGATGCTTAGGGATCGTTCCCCCTCAGGATCGCCCCGGCACTGCTGAGACAGGCATCCTATGGCACCATCAAGATCGGGATCTACCAGAGCCTGAAGCGGCTCTTCGTGGACCGCATGGAAGGTCGGTGTCAGGGAACGGGGCAGCAGGGGCACCTCCCAGCTCACTGATCCCACACTCTGTTGTGTGTTCTGCTCATTCCCTGCTCTGTCCTTCCCACCCTGAGATTCCCACAGGAATGGAGCTCTCTTACTGGGTGCTGTGGTTTTGTCAGTGGTAGCAAGGATCAGTTTCAATCCCAGTGGGAACCTGTGATCCCTACCCAACCACCTTCCTCCAGCCAGGCCATGGAATCATAGGAGAGTCTCAGAATCATTTAGGTTGGAAAAGAGCTTCAAGGCTATTCAATGCAATCTGTGCCTGATCCTCACCTTGCCCCCCAGCCCAGAGCACTGAGTGCCACGTCCAGTCCTTCCCTGGACACCTCCAGGGATGGGGACTCCACCACCTCCCTGGGCAGCCCCTTCCAGTGCCTGACAGCCCTTTCCATGAAGAAATTCTTCCTGATGTCGAACATGAACCTCCCCTGGCACAGCTTGGGGGCAGTCCTCTCATTCTGTTGAGCCTTTATCTCTGCTTTGCACATGGGAGCCAAAAAAAAATCACCCAGTTCCACCCCCCTGCTATGGGTAGGGACACCTTCCACTATCCCAGGTTGCTTCAAGCCTTGTCCAGCCTGGCCTTGAACACTTTCAGGCATGGGGCAGCCACAGCTTTTCTGGGCAACCTGTGGATTGGAATTGTGGGACTCAGCTCTGTAGCTTTGGCCCTGACTGTAAAGGTGAGATGCCACCAGTGCCCTTGTCCCGTGCCCTCTGCTCAGGAGGACTCTGCAGCTCCTCCTTGGGCAGTGGAGCAGCAGGAGTCTGGTGGATGCTCCCTGAGGGAGCACTGAGATCTGCAGGGGTGGTTTTCGTCCCTGGGGTGACATGAGGGAATGTTGTAACACTATTCCAACCTGGGAAAGCAGGGCGGGTGGGCGAGATGCAGCACACTAATGGCATGGAACTGTGTCAGGGGAGGTTTAGGTGGGATATCAGGAAAAGTTCTTCCCCCAGAGGGTGGCTGGGCACTGAACAGGCTCCCCAGGGCAGTGGGCACAGCCCCAAGGCTGCCAGAGCTCCAGGAGCATTTGGACAAGCGTTGGGGTGTCCTGGGCAGGGTCAGGAGTTGGACTTGGTGATCCTTGTGGATTTTCCAACTCAGGAGATGCTGTGGTTCACTAGAGCTCCTTTCCAGGGTTGCTCTGTCCCCAGTAACCTCTCTCCCTGCTCCAGTAACGCCTCTCCCTGCCTGGTTCTGTCCGTGTACACAGGCCCCTCCTCGCTGTTCCAGCCTTTCCAGCTGTGAGCTCCGTGCCTGAATGTTTGTCTCCCTACAGGCCTGGGGCAGCCAGTGGCCTGGTCTCCTCTGGGAAGTGCCGTGGTCAGTACCAGCAAAGTGCTGTGCCTTTTCCCAACGTAACCATCATCCTAATACTGGGCCTGGAAGTCTCAGGTTATTCCCTGGAACTAATCCCGTCTAACTCCCCACGTGGTCCCAGTCCTCAGCTGGCTCTGGGTGGCTGTGTGGTCTCACTGGAGCCAAAACCATTTGGTATCAGGTGGCCTTGAGAGGTGCTGGGTTGTCTCCCTCTGTCCTGGCTTGTCCCTATCATGAGAAATCCATCACTGGACACTGGAATGTCAGATAATTGCTCGTAATTTTCATGTGCCCCGTGATTTTCCTTCTCATCAGTAAGACCTGCCCCTCTGAGAGAATGCATTGCTGATTGTCCCAGCTGCCACCTCCTGTCCCTGGCAGGTGTGGGGACAGACCTACCATGACCTGTGGCACCTGCCCAGCCCCTGCTCCTGCAGCTTCACTGTGAGATTTGAGAACTGAGCTGCTCTGCTCTTCCCAGCCCTTGTTCCATCCCACCTGTGCCCCTTCCCGTGAGGTCTGTAGGGTCTGACCTTCTTTCCTTGCTTGCAGATGAAACGTTGCTCATCAATGTGATCTGTGGGGTGGTCTCGGGGGTCATCTCCTCTGCGCTGGCCAATCCCACAGATGTGCTGAAGGTAAGGGCAGCTCCTGGCCAGCACTTGGCTGGCTGTGGGACCTGTGGGAGGTGCAGCTCAGTGCTCCCTGAGCCACCAGTTCTGCTAATTTGGGCTTTTCTAATAAAGGGAGACCAAAGCCCAGAGCAATTAACAGCAAAAGACACAGCTCTTAAAGATCACAGAATCCCAGAAGGGTTTGGGTTGGAAGGGACCTTAAAGCTCATCTTGTCTCACTTCTTTGACATGGGCAGGGACACCTTCCACTGTCCCAGGTTGCTCCAAGCCCCGTCCAGCCTGGCCTTGGACACTTCCAGGGGTGAGGCAGCCACAGCTTCTCTGGGCAACAAAGGTCATGAAATTTGTTGTGGTGAAGGATGGAGGCTGCATTATCCAACCTGGGCAAGGTGAGCAGGTGGCAGCCAGTTCCTCACACCTGCCCTGCTGCTCTCTCCTTGGTCACTGTGCTGGCACTGCCTGGTGCCTGGAGTGAGCAGAGCCCAGTGGGGACTGCCTGGTGCCCTGGAGTCAGGGTAGCCCTGCTCTGAGCTGAGAGAGCCTGGAGAACTTCCCTATGCTTCTCCCTGTGTAGATCCACCTTCTTGGGCTGCTTCCAGAGCAGGAAAGCCTCATCCCTCATGTCCCTGTGCTCCCACCCTGCTGCTCTCCCTGCTCCTTGCCTGCTGCCATCACTGGCCACATGGCTTGCAGGGAGAGAGATGTGGAGAGCAGTGTCTGCCTGAGCTGCTCTGTGTTCCTGCTCTCAGGAGTTCCATGGTGCTGGTATCCCCGGTGTCCCTGCCCTCTGGGGCAGGTGCTGGTGTCAGGACAGGTGTTGATGTCTACCTGCTGACTCTCCCCTTCCTTCCAGATCCGAATGCAGGCTCAGGGCAGCTTGTTCCAGGGCGGGATGATCGGCAGCTTCATTGACATCTACCAGCAGGAAGGTACCCGAGGCCTCTGGAGGGTGAGCACCAGCTCTCAGAATCCCCCACCGGCAGCAGAACTAACAAAAACCTTATGGAAGCGGGTGGAGTCTTAGCAGGGAGCACC